CCATCTGGAGAATCTATCTATTAGAGTCAAAAGGTACACGTTGCCTTCTGATGGAGGTAACGGTCCGACGATATCCATATGGATTTCTGAAAAACGTGCATCAGGAAGAGAGAATGTGCCCAGTGGTGCTTTAGTATGCCTAGTAATTTTCGATTTTTGGCAAGATTCACAGGATTTCACCCAATTTTTGATATGACGTTTCATATCGGGCCATACATAACGAGAACAAATAAGCTTCGTAGTAGCTGCAATTCCTGGATGTGACAGATTATGCAGATGATTAAAGATGAGTCTGCGAAAGGAATTCGGAACAAATGGACGAGGAATGTCTGTTGATATGTCACAAAGAATATTACCATCAGAATATTGGCACGGTTTAAATTCCAGTTTCAAAGATGATGTGTGTTGTTTTTGAGAAGGTCTTGTACCTCCGGATCATGCCGTTGAGCTTCCGAAAATTTTTTAAAATCCAAAAATGGAGATTTTGTTATGGAATCAATTTCGATTCTTGAAAGAGCGTCAGCAACGACGTTTTTTGAACCTTGCACATGCCTAATATCAGTAGAGTACTGAGAAATAAAATCTAAATGGCGCAATTGTCGAGGTGAACATTTATGAGGGTTCTGTTTAAAAGCGTATATTAACGGTTTTTGATCCGTATAAATTATAAAATTTCTGCCCTCTAACATGTGTCGGAATTTCTTAATTGCAGAATAAATAGAAAATAATTCCCTATCGTACGCGGACCATTTCTGTTGACTTTTACTGAGTTTCATAGAGAAAAATGCTATAGGTTCCCATGTTTGTTGAGACAACTGCATAAGTGTGCCGCCGATTGCGACGTCTGAGGCATCTACCCAGATGCTTAGCTGGGCTCCGGGAATAGGGTGTCTCAAAAGGGTAGCCTGAGCAATGGCATTTTTGGCAGCAATAAAGGCTTGTTCAGCATTCTCGTTCCAATTTAATTGTGGGGATGAATCCTGAACACGAGAACGAGATTTCTTTTTATTAATATAGCCTTCTAACAATTTTATTAAAGGAGAAAGAATATGTGCTGCTTTAGGTATGAAACATCTATAAAAGTTAAACATGCCTAAAAATCGGCGAAGCTGAGTGAGAGTGGTAGGTTGAGGAAAATCTAAAATACATTTGACTTTGTCAGGAAGAGGTTCAATTCCGTTTTCACTAAGGTGAAAACCTAAGAAATCAATAGATGTTTGACCAAAGGTGCATTTTGAAACATTTATGCAAAGTCCATATTCCTGAAGTTTGGAAAATAAAGCTTTCAAATGCCTGCAATGTTCCTCAGAATCTTTAGAGGCTATGAGCAAGTCATCGACAAAAGCGTAAACACCTTCTAAATCCCGCGTGACTTCATCTATAAAACGTTGAAAAGTCGCGGATGCATTGCATAAGCCGAATTGCATACGGGTACTTTCGAATAAACCGAATGGTGTGCATATGGCGGTTTTGTGGATGTCGGCTGGGTTAATTGGTATTTGATGGTATGCCTTAATCAGGTCGACATGACTAAAAATTTTAGTACCGTGCAATGCAGCAGTAAAATCGGCTAAAGCATGGAATAGGGTATTTGTCTTTTATTGTTTGAGCGTTCAATGCTCGATAATCTCCTACAGGTCTCCATTCCAGACTTCCCTTTTTTGGAACCATGTGAAGTGGGGATGCATAATTGCTGCTCGAAGGTCTCAAATGCCCCAATTGCATCATAGTTTGAAATTCTTGTTTTGCTATTTTTAAGCGATCTGGAGCTAACCGACGAGGTTTTGCAACCACAGGTGGACCTTTAGTTATGATATAATGAACGGTGTTGTGTTTAACAGGTTGGTTAGGATCTGGTAATCTAGTAACTGAAGGAAATTCTTTTAAAATTTTGTGATATGGTGTATCACTAAATACAGTTTTTACTGAATAAATGCTTGCATTTTTCACGCAACCGACGGTTTTAAAATGCGTTTTTAAATCTTTGAGACATTTGTTTCTGAGATCAGGCACCAATTCAAAGAAATGGAGAAAATCTGCTCCAAGAATGGGTGTACTAACATTTGCTATAAGAAAAGTCCATGTAAACTGTCGTCTTAATTTGAAATCCAAAGAAAGTGTTTTTTGACCATAAACATGAATAGTAGAAGAATTAGCAGCGAAAAGTGTTTGTTGGGACGAATTCCGTTTTTGAGAATTATTTGCTGGAAGTAAGGACACGTCAGAGCCGGTATCGACCAAGAATGAAAGGTTTGTTCTACGGTCACGAACGAACAGGCGACGTGAAACTTGAGGCAAAGAATAAGTCGCCTCTATTCTTTGCTGGTTTCGTTTCCCTGCCATGAACAAGGTTTTGTACATTTGTCATCTCTACACTTTTTCCCAAAACGTCTATGATACCAGCAAACAGAATAATCTCTCCTTTTGGAATTGCTTCTTTCCTTATTGCGATCTCCGCGATTTGGCGAGCGACCACGAGAAAGAGAAATGCGATCAATACGTTTGTTTAATTTTTCTATTTGTTTAAATAATTTATCCTCAAGAGACTGATCGACTGTGCGAGAAACGGCACAAGTCCCTGGGGTTGGATTTACTTCTAAAATTCTGTCGGCAATTTCTGCAGCTTTATCTACAGTTAAATTGGAAACCGCTGCCAAAATAGACTGAACAGTCGAAGGCAAACGTTGAAGGAATAATTCTAACATTAAGTTATCAGGAACATTTAAAGATTCTGCTCGACGTTTCATATTTCTAAGCAAATCGGAAGGTTTTCGAGAACCTAATTCTTCTCCAGATAATAATTGGCGAATTTCTTGCTGAGAAGATTCTCCTGAACGATTTATTAACTCAGTTTTAAGCTTTGCATATGGATCAATAGGGTCTGGTTTCATAAGTAAATCCCGTACTAGTGATGCGATATCTGGAGGAAGATGAGAAACTACATAATTATATTTAGTAATGGATTCTGTGATAGGTTTGGGGGTGGCAAGAGCAAAGGTACTTTCACACATAATAAACCATAAAGATGGGTCTGATCGGTTATAAACCGGAATTTGGACGGCATGAACATCAGACATTGTGCAAGGTTTTTAAGCCAAAATAAAAGCAAAAATTTAACTAAAGAAAATGAAATTAAATGATAAGTAGAAAACAGAATTATAAAATGATCTATAATTACTACTCATCTGTGATTCCGGAGGACGAAAACCGATGTAATCCATTACTTCTGGTTTGGAGATCTTGAGTGATGGCTTGTAGTCAAAACCGAAAGTGCTTGAGAACTGTTCATACGATTTAACACAGTCCGGGTTACCATTATGGTGATTTCTGGTTATGTTTTTACCACCAATCCTCGAATTCCATATCACAGATTATGTTCTTACTGCATTAATATAAATATTAACAAGACATAGTGCACAATAAAAATTAAGCTTTATTTAGGAACTTCGCGCACACTGCCCGACAGCCTGCCTGTTTCGCTCTGCTCGCTACTCGTAAGAAGTTTCTCCTCTAGGGTTGCCACACTTATCGGAGGGCGCAAGGCGCGCTCCTTATCGCCATCACCACAAAGCAATACTTATTTTTTTAATAAAATTAATACATATTTTTACAATATATAAGTTTACATGATTGCAATAAGAAAGGATGGTTCACAACTAGATGTGACTAGCTACCAAGCAGTAACGTTGCTAAACACTGATAGTTTGACCTAGGATTGAATCCTGGTGAACAGGCTGGCTGCATTGTTGGTTTTCATTGCTTTTCCCCTGCATAACATGGCTATGAGCCAGTTTCCTTTAAAAATCTTTCACAAAACCAGTCATCCCCATTAGCAGATAGCCCTTGAATTGCTTTGCTACTGCTGATTACAATAAGGTGCACAACTAAATGTTGCAGTTATCATATTTAAAAAATTTCAACATTCTGGCTGATTGTTTTTGAGTTATATGAGATGCATACAGATGTCAAATGGGGGGGGTAGACTTTTCAATCCTTTACAATCTGTTTTGTGAAAGAGAGTTCTTTATTCTGTAAATACGTACAGACATGATGCAAGAAAATCGTCCAAATGGATATTTCCTTTAAACGGTACCTAAAATGTTTTCACAATTACAGTATTTCATTTACTTTGTACAAGGAAATAAGAAATGCTTTTATATCTGTTGCTGGCATATTGTGTATTACTAATATATGGATTTGAGTAATTGATAATTTTAGTGATCCTTATAAATACATTCTTCATGAAGATATATGCAATCTTCAGTATTTGGTGGGCTGATTAAGATCTTACTCAGTATTTGCTAATGGGAAGTCCAACTGTATTTATACTTTTCTTATTATCTATATGTACTTACATTAGTATTCATTATTACATAATTTTTTCTTTTTTCAGTTAAAATGAATATGGATTTAGAGACAGTAAAGAAGGAAATACGAAGTATACTTCTCACCTTCCAGAAAGGATGCTCATTGACAGAATTTAATCGTGTCTATAAAGATATGCTTGGTTGTAGATTACCGTTTAGAGACTTCTCTTTTCAATCAGATGTTGAATTTTTAAAATCAATGCCTGATGTTTTGTCATTGAGGCCAGACAGATCTGGAGACTATATTTTAAAAGGAATTGCTGATGAGAAGTCTCAGCATATTCAAAATCTTGTTTGCAAGCAAAAGCCCAGCAAACAGAAGGCTCCTTCTCGTTGTAGAGCTATTTCAAATTCTAAGATAACGTCAAGTTTTAAGACTTCTGCAGTTTCAAGTTCCTCTCTAAGTAATACTAGCATTTCCAAGCCTCCTTCAAACAGCAGGCGTATATTTAGTGTTCCTCCACGTTTTAATTCTTCTAAAAAAATGGCCCAAGATCATATGCAAGAAGCAGTTGAACTTGTTTTGAGTTTTCCTGATGGTCTTCTTTTAAGTAACTTCATGGCAGATTTTGAAAAGTTGTATGGTAAAAAATTTCCATTTAGGTCTCTAGGCTATGCTACTTTGGATAAATGTCTTGAATCTATTCCACACCTTATTCTGGAACCTATAGATAATGACACTTTGATTTATCATGTATCATTTATTGAGAATAGTAGTAGAGCACAGAGTGATATACCTGAATCATTTCTGACAGATAGAGAATTTTATGCACAAAGAAAAAAACAGGCAAACTTCTGTGTCTGATAAATCTGAAAATTATAATTCTGTGACAGATGGAGAATCGATGCACAAAGAAAGAAACGGTGAAACTTCTGTGTCTGAAAAATTTGAAAATTACAATTCTATGACAGATTACACATTAAATGGTGAGTACTTCAAAATATATATTTTTCAAATTGCAGTTATGGAGAATTATTAAGAATATTTTATCTGCCAGCCGTCGCAGTTTTTCAAAGATTTTCCACCCTCCTGCTGGATCATAAAATCTCCTGGTTTTTAATTTTTTAGCTTTTATTAAGGAAATTTTTTCCAGCAATAAATGAAATTTATTGAATTTATGAAACTTAAACTGTACAAATGCAATTACACCATCCCCAGTGATCTCCAGATTAGTTTTTGCTAGTAAATTTTGTTTCATCTGAATAGCATTTTTTAAAATTATATTTTAGGATCTTTTTAGTATTAAATATTATTTATATTTTCTTATTAAAATTAATTTGGTTTGAATTGTCGCAATTCACTGCAGACATTTGTAGAACTTTATAAAGACTCAAGCAATGTTTAATCAGTTAATATTTCTTAGATTTTGTTTCACCTTTATGTATGATACATTATATAGTTTATCTATGCAAATACATTGTATATTGATTAATAATTTTATTTTCATTGTTTTAAAAGTACTTTAGTAAATAAAAGCTTTCTTTCCTTACTTGGGATTTTCTTAGTATAAAAATATTTAAAATTGAAGTTAAACAAAAAAATATTAAATTTGGAATAGCTAATTAAATATTATAATATTTTATAATCGTATACATAGTTTAATAATTTTAATCATGCATTATAAAGTGAATTAAGTCAGTTTGGAGATTTCAAAGTTTGCAGCTATATTATGTATACAAAAATTAAAACCATGCCTTATTGATAAATAGCGGATTTTTATTTTAAGTATCAAAATTGGGCATTAAAATGTATGCAGTATGTAAAAACAAAATGGTATTAGCAATTTTTTTCAATATATAACAGTTATGAACTTTTAAATGTTTTAAAAAATGTATTGCTAATAGCATGACCAAGTATCTAATTGCATAGAATTGCTCCAAAAGGTGCAAAGTGTATCTATGCATATGTGTATATGTGTTCATGTATGTATGTACATATGCATGTATGTATGTGTGTTTATAAACACATATATATGCACATCCATCCATACATACATTTCTGAATCCGGTCCTGAAAGCAGACGAGTACCTTGACTTTAAATTATATCAGCCATATTTAATAATATTGTGATTAATATAAGATATTTCTAATGTCGTATATTAATGTACCTGGATGCAATTTTTTTTTATTTCTTCATTTGCTTTTTATTTTAATACTTTATAATGCCTGATCTGTTTTGCTGTAATAAATTGAGCTAGACATTAGCAGACTGTTTAGAGAATTATCCCTAAATCTTAAAGGCACAACAAAGTCAGGAGAAGGGTGGAAAGGACCCTTTATTAACTCCAATAAAGTTCAGTGATGATATCAACTTGTGCTTGCAAAAGCCAACACTTTTGATTTAACTCAAAAGATAATGACTGAAATAAATTAAATTTAGGCCTAACGCCTTCACAGGTTAGTTACCGTGCAGGCTGGCTCTGGCTCAAAAGTTGACATAAACAACTGTAATGGCAAGAATACTAATAATATAGTAATCATATAGTAATAATATTATAATAATGGCAAGAATACTAATGGCATACTCTAATGGCAAGAATACTACTCAATGTCACAGAAGTGTAATCACCAGGAAATCAAAGCAATGTGGCCTTCAGGCAAGCAGAACAAGCTTTGAATTCACCTTCCAACACCTTCCCTTGAGTACTCACTTCTACCTCATTTGAATACATGCACAATACATCATTCACATTCTGGCCAGAAAGTGCAAGATAAAAGCAAGAGTGGTAGGGAAGGCTGCTTCAACATTAAATAACTGTTAATTACATTAAATAAATCCTTACAGCTTTAAATATATACACAGGCATATGAATATATAAGTAGTGAAATAGTTGGCTTTATTTCTTGTCAGCTAGCTTTCTAATATTAGATGATATGTATATTAAGGCATGTATACATTAGAAAGAAAATTTGTATTTAGTTCATTTAGGCTTAGAATGTTCTCGATTTTCTTTTAAGAGCTTTCAGTATTTTTCTGTTAATGGGAAGCCAGTCGCCAAAAGTGCTAAATGGGGTAGCCTATTTATATTACATCGTCACTACCTGTTCAGTGTTGAATGTTCACGACCTCTTCAGTGTTTAATGTGTGCAGTGCCAAGGCTGTAATATTACATGTAATGCCAAATTTGTACAATTTTTTTTTTTTTTTTTTGACAAAATCATTAACACAAATAAAAAATGTTTTGCATTATGCACATCAACCATTATATGTCTTATGAAATACATTATTGTTATTACAAGTTAGTTTTTTTCTTGAAGTTCGTTATGTCTTTGCATATCATTAGCAGCTATGCCATCATCTAGTTGAATTTTGCACCAATGATTATGTTTGGCACTAAGTGATTATTCGTTAACTGAAAAATACTAAGCTTTCTCAGTTTTTCTTTTTTTTTTTTTTTTTTTTCGTCAGTTACTTTTTCTAAACATTTTTTCAGTTATAATCATCTGGTAATTAATATTAAAACAGGCATTTTTTTATGACAACATTTAATTGACTTACAGAATCATGAATTAAAAATTTTCAGTCGTATATTACTAGTAAATTGCTTTATTGTTCTTACAATTGTCTACTGATTTATCAGTTATTCATTCCCAGAAACAGAGTGCAGATATTACAGTATTCCCATGCAGTAAATATGTTCTCATTTTCACAGCTGTGATGTAGCATTACTACGTTATATACAGTCACTGCTGTATTTAAGGGTGAGCTGAAGAGGCAAGTTAAAGCCATCTTGAGAGGTTGGTGGAAACAAAAAAGGGATGGGAGACTCTTAAATTCATCCTTCCAGTGATTCTTTTTCAAAATTGGAAAGAAGTTGGACAATTTGTTTTGTTATCTGTAAGGTGCCGAAGGCTTAAGCCAATTGGCTGTGATAAAATTTCTGAACATGATCTAATGTTACTTTAGGGCAAACGAGATAATGCACTACATACTTTTATTATTTAATTGTGAAGTTAGGTTTCCTTTACCCTTCTTCTCAGAGTTGGTTTACACTGTGTAATTTTCCCCTCTCTATTATTAATCGTAAAATTAGAGAAAAAAGGTGGAGAAATTGTATGTACTAGCCACTGAATTGCTAGGATATGATGTTTGTGGAAAATAAAAGTACGTTAATTTATCCTGTTAAAGAAAGCATAGATACTTTGTAGTATTGTGTTATAGATGCTGAGTTACTTCCCATACTTCATGAAAACTCATTTGAGTACTGGACACAGACGACGTGACAGAATGTTGAACGAACTTTTAACTAAATACAAAAATATTACATGTAATGGTATTGAACCATACAACCACCTTTGTGACCCCTGCCAGAAAAAAACAAAAAGGTATTAAAAAGGGCATTGTTGTGAAACTTATGACTTCCTGAATTTAATTTCCATTGTCAGTTAGATCTTACTGACTCCCAGTCTCGGCCAGATATAAAATACAAATTTATTATGTTGCATCAAGATCATCTCACTATTTTTTTATAAATTTTGAGTAACAGTTTTTTAATGGCACTCTTTCGTTAATTTTTCAAAATAACATTTGTATATTTGAGGAATGAACATCTTTTAAATAATAACATTATCATAACCTTTTTTTCATGCTTAGCCTAAAGAGCATTTGTTATTCTTTAGAATGCCTAGGTATTAGTATATACAGTGCCTAGGTAAAGTGTGTAATAATTCTCATATTTCACACTTTGCCTAAAAACGTCTGGCATTATATACAGTGCCTAGGCATTCTGTAGAATGACGGCTTTTCATGCTTTGGTGGTAATATCACTCTGTTTTCCTTTGAAGGAACCCATTGTTTGTTTTGTGTAATTTTTTCACATGATTAAAATATGCGTGTTTAATTAATTTTACATTTCAGGTGATAAAGAAAGTGTTCAAGCTTTAACTTTCTTCAAAGGAAACCTGGGTCATCTCAACTTAAGCTCCAGATCTGAGGATAGACCAGCACTTTCAGAGAATATGAGAAAGAAATGTCTAAAGGTGATTTTTCATTTTATGAAATACTTTAAATATATTTTGATAATAGGATGCATATTTTTAATATACAATGTTTAAAAAATAATTTAATAATAAAATAAGATAAGTTTTATTTGATTTCTGCTTTCAAGAATTAGGAAATTATGAAAAAAAAAAAAAGGAATTGGGATTTTAAATTATATAGTTCAAAGTTGTTAATACTTTTGTTTTATATTTCTTCTTATATGAGTATATGTGAAGTAATATTTATACAGGGTGCGACATGTAAAACTGGCTCATTGTAGTATCATGGTATATTGTGTTTTTGGCGACAATTGAATGATTTTTAGCTTCCTACCAAGAGATGATGTGTTGAGCTAGGTTTGGGATGTGCAGGTGCACGAGTAAAGCAGCTGTATCCAGTGAAACCTGCCCAAACTAGTTGAGAAGTAGGTCTCGTGTGAAGCCGGGTGAATCACTAATGCTCATCATGAATGAGAAGGTATGGTTCCACTTGTCTGGGTATGTTAATTCCCAAACCAACCAGTACTGGTTGACAGAAAATCCTCATACAACCCACCAGGAACCCTTGCTTGATGAGAAGATTGGTGTATTTTGTGCCATTTCTACCGCATGCTTTATGGGGCCCATATTCTTTGAGACTTGGGGTCAACAGTGCCATGTATTTGGAAATCTTGGAGGATTTTTATTTAAACTTGACAGAAGAGGAGAGTTAGTTATGTTACTTTCAGCAGGACGGTTCAACACATCAAGTTGCACATCGAATGCATCATTGTCCCACGTGCTTGAGATGTTTGCACTAATGAGGCCAACCAGCAAAGACTTGTGGCCTGCTCTATCACCAGATTTATTCACTTGTGGGGACTGTTAAAGGAAAGAGTATACGAATCAAATCCACACACAATTGGGGAACTCGAGACCTCTACCCAGGATGTCATCAGTAGCATCACCACAAAAGAATTGAGAAGTGTATATATGAATCTCCCCAAACGTGTGTTGAAGTGGATGGAGGACACTTGCAGCACCTACTATAAATGTGATTAATCATATTCAAAATATTTCATTTCATTTTATGCGTGGACTTTGTTTAATCATTGATTATGTTGATCTTCTGATGTCTCATTAAGGGACGGGCTGGTTTTATGTGCCACATCCTGTATTTTATATTCATTATTCCATCAGCAGATTAGCTTTTTGATAAAATGATTTGATTTTAAAATGAGCGTTTTAATTTTAAATTAAAGATATATTTCTGGTAATTTTCTTAGAAATTTTATTATATTTTGGTAGGTTTTTCAAATTAATAATATTTACCATCCCAAGAATTTAATTTTTATGCTGATTTTATCTTTTAACATTAGTCTGTAGTAATTGTCACATGTTAAGGTCAACTAATGTTTTATCAAAATAATAGTTTGTAATCCTTCTGTATAATTTTTGTTTCTGATTGATGTGTTCCTCTTTCCCCTCAAAGAGGTCCTGGAAAACAAGGCATGTTATAAAATCCAGATACAGATTCCAAATTTTTAGTTTATTTTCAAACCTTTAATTTTTTTCCCAACATTTTATTGATAAGTATGGCCTGCTATGTTAAATTTAATTTATTTAAATCGTGAATAATCACAACAGGAAACTCAAAATCACATATCTGATCTTTATCTTTCCAAGGCTGGAAAGAAGTTATTTTTCAGCTGTAAGAATAACTGGTACTTTTGCATTATCTGTCCAACCTTAATGCAAAGTCACAAATCGCTGGTGACAAAATTTTTGCCAACCTCATACAGGGAAACAGTAACCATTTTAAAAAACTGCTGTGCACTGAAAAGTATACCTTGAACAAAAAAAATGGGACTGTTCCATATCTCCCGTTACTGGATCGATTGTCAAAATTTAACTTGCATTTTCTATGTCTCCAAAGTGCGACTTAGGATATATATTAGATTTATATTTTGCATTGTTCTAATATAGATATTTTGACTCAAAATCGTACTTTTGTTTAGTATGCTGTTTGGCAAGGAATGCAGGTTCGTGTCCACAAGTGTATATCTTTCTTATTGTTAGGCCAAATGAATTTTAATGTCATTATAGTTGATTTTATTCCCGGATGTGTTAAACCATGAATTCATTGACAAACTTGTTTTCTGAAAGCTTGAGGAATAGGCTGCTGAATAGTTTTAGTTGATGTATCACATCACAAATATTTCCCCGAAGATAGAGAACATTGCTTTAAACTTTAGGAAATAGTGGTTTGCAAACTCATCAGTTCTCCATCAAGGCTGTTCATCAGCTATTTTATCATAATCTATCGATGAAATTTCATTAACTCTTGATAATGAATTGGCTACAGTGTTATTATCACCTTTTACATATTTGATATCAGTCAAAAACTGAGAGATATTATGAAGTTGGCAAGCTTGTTTAGGTGCTGCCTTGTCAAATTTTTGATGAAAGATGAATAGGGTTTGTGGTCTGTTTAAATTGTAAGTACTCTTTCTTCTAGGTAATACTTGAAGTATCTAACTTAACACTTCTATCATAGGTGCTATATTTTTGCTGATTATCACTGAATTTTTTAGAAAAAATGCTATTTCCAAGATAAGTTTTCGTATTGTTGCAGCACTGAGCCAATTGTCGTATCTGAAGCATCTGTAAATAACACCAGAGGTAATTCAGAATTAGGAAAAGGCAACAGTGCAGTGTTCACCAGGTCATTCTTGCACTTTTCAAACTGTTTTTCAACTTCTTCAGTCCATTGAATGTTATGTTTGTCCTTCCTTTTAGCTCCCTTAAGATAATTCATATACAGTCAAAAGTCGTCAATTCGGACATCCATAATCCGGACCTCAAAGCTACAAACTTTCTGCGCATGCGTCGCGTTCACGCATGTGCACAGGCGTTTACGAGGGCGCGTAAGACCCTTACGGCTGCGAATATGTTTGTGCGCATGCGTGTTTAATGTGTAACGGAGTTATACGCTAAGCTAAAGTTATCTAATTCAGTTAATGTTGCAGATTGCGTTGTTCCTTAATCTTCGAAATGGATCCGGCTTATTATTTTTTGCAGACTGTTAGAGCAATTTTATAAAAGTAAGCTTGAACTTTCGATTATGTCAAATAGAATTTCCGATATATATTTACTACAAAGCGAAAGTATGTTTTGAAATCCGAAATCTGTTTATCAATTTCACGCTGCTCTGTGGCAGAGGGGGGGGGCAGAAACATCATTATTAGATTATGATAGATTAGAAAGATTATGTCAAAGAGAATTTCCGATATATATTTACTAATATGTAATTTGTATCTACAAAGCGAAAGTATGTTTTGAAATCACGCCGCGGATTGGAAGTTGATCTGTCAGCACTATCCTTATCCTCAGGGCAGATGTTTTTATTTTATTTGGTTTATAATTCCGTACTAAGTGTTCATTTCGATGTACTCCGTCTTTGATATGATTTAAATCAAGTTCCTCGTCATTATAATTCGCTTCCCATAGTGAAGAAAGTGACCCAGAGGTTATTGAAAACAAAAACATTTCGATTGACAAATTAGTCGGTATTCTCAACACAGCAATTATAGGACTTGAACAGCAGAACTTTGTAACTAAACAAGAAATTATGTCTGTTTAATAGAATTAAAGAGAAAGTATTATCACATGAAACGAAGCAACTTACATTGAAAGAAATGTTTAATAAAGTAAACAAATAAATATTAAGCTTTTTCTTTTTGTAAATTTTGATACCCTTTAGATCATAATTGTTCTTTATTTCATACATTACGGTTTCATATTTTTAATTTTGTAATTTCTGCATGCCATCTTACCAGATTTAAACTGATGATCTATAATCCGGAATCGCCGAAGTCCCGACGAGTCCGGATTAACGACTTTTGACTGTACTAATGCTCAATTCTTTGCTGGTTCGTTTAGATAACAATAATAAAAATGAAGTATTCCAAGAAAAGTTCTAAGTTTGTAAATTGTTTCTGGTCATTTGTAGTTGGTAATAGCTTGAACTCTTTCTGGCAAAGGACGGGAACCCTCATCTGTAATTAGGTATCCTAAAAACTCAATTTGTTGAATAGCAAACATAGATTTTCAAGTATTATTCATAAACCAAAGGTATTTAGTCTTTTGAAAACTAGTTTAAGGTGATTTTCATGTTCTTCATAAGTACTGGATACAATAAGTATATCCTCTAAATACTGAAAAACGAATTCTAATCCTCTAAAGACTTCGTGAATAAATCTATTTAACCTCTTCTGCAATGGGAATTTGAAAATAAGCTTTGAATAAACCAGTTTTAGAGAAAATATTTGTGCCTTGAAAATATATGATGAAAATCTTCAATATGAGAAAAAAGGTATCAGGTGTCATTTTCAAATGACGGTAGTCCCCGCAAGGCCAATATGAACCATCCTTTTTGGTAAGAAGGTGCAAGGGGCTTGATGGGCTTAATCTTTGAGAGTTTGATGGAGGAATTATTCCATTGTCAAGCAAAAATATAAAGTCCTCTTTAGTTATAGCTAAGCGTTTTGGATCGAGCTGTCGTACCTTTGAATTCACAAGTTGACTATCAGTCATAATAAAATGTGTAACACCATGTTTAATTTGTGTAGGAGAAAGGTTAGGTTTAGAAATTTCAGGATATTTTGACAACAAATCAAACATTTTTATGAATTTATTTAATGTGCTTATTACTTGAAATAGCAGCGACATCACACTGGACACTAAGTTGTGTTATGATATCAATTAATTTTTTCTTTCTTGTATTGATAAGCAAGTTATATTTGTGAAGAAAATCAGCTCTTGAAATAGCTTTTGTGACATCAGCAATTATGAATGGAAACTGAAAATCAGGAGTGGACGTAATCCCAAATCAAGAGTTAGTGTTTTTATGCCATAGGTGGAGATATGTGTGCCATTAGCTGCATACAGTTTGTGTTCAGTTTTGCATTTATTCTGAGAAGTAGCTGGAATTTTGCTTGCATCAGCTTCACCATTGTTAC